GCATTTAACGAATTTTCGCGAAAAATCAAAACTGATTAATGAAAATTTAGGCGTAGTCAAAATGGGCAAAAGTCATCTGAAATCGAGAGCATATGCAAAATATCGAAATTTTAGCTCTTTTTTTACCTTTTCAAGTTGTGTTTTAAGCTGTTGTAGTTCAGGAAAAGTGAACAAAGGCGGACATTGAAAACTGGCGCCTATAAGTGTCGATGATCTCATGCCAATTCGTTCAAAATCTTCCAGTGTTGCGTCCACAAGAATAATTTCTGGTTGCAAATTTTCTGGTTGTACTTCCGATGTTTCCGCTCTCACACCCCCCTTTGTATCGAGCTTCGGATTCTCCTGATCAACTGCAGAATTTTCTTTGAACTCATCCTGCAATTACGTTCAGTACTGCTTAACTGAACGAGTAACCCTGAACTTAATAAACAGAGAAATTTGAAAAAATCTTTCAAAACCTAAAAAAGTTAAAAGAAAAAAAAAATGTGAAAACTGGGGAAAATCAAGGAGAAAACAGCTAAATTTAAGGTCTTTCTAAATTTTACTCAACTTCCTCTAAAACAGCTAAATTTAAACCCCATTTCCTCAATCAGTCTGAAGCTAATGGACAGAGAAATTTAAAAAATTTTTCAAAACCTAAAAGAGTTAAAAGAAGGAAAAAATGTGAAAACTAGGGAAAATCAGGGAGAAAAAAGCTAAAAGTAAGGTCTTACTAAATTTTACTCAACTTCCTCTAAAACAGCTAAATTTTAACTTCACTTCCTCTAAGGAACGGAAGTATTCGAAAGTAACTGGCATGACGGCACTCTCAACAGCAGGGCTTCTCAGATTCTTTCTTCCGTGGTTGTTCTCAAAACGAGAAATGCAATCTACCGCCAAAGCTTCCATATATCCGCACGTGAGAACTACGCATAACTGGGGGCTGAATTTGAAATCTTTAAGCTGTACGTGGAGAGGGGACATCCCCTCAAAAATTTCATATTTCCATTTTGCCTGGTTCCCGCATGTGCGAATATCATGATCCAAAAAAAAAGATCTGAAGAATTACCGACCGATCTGCTCTTACTCCTTCACAGCTAAAAGCTGTTCAAGAAGTTTATCACAAATTCTATAATGAAGAGCAGCCAAGAGGCAAGCTCGAATTTGAAATAATTACAGTACGTTGGACCAAACTTTTCCTCTAAGCCATTTGATTTTGCACAGAAATTGATTGTGTTCATCGGCAGAATCGAATCAAGCGCTGGCACTTAATAGTTGGAATTACTGCGCATTTGATCCGCCTATGAGTACAGTGCTGTCCCACAAGCTCATACTGATGAGCGAGTGATAGAAACTGTGCTGCAGTTGTTAAGGAAGCGAGCATTAGTGCGTCATTATCAAATAAATAGCAACGCGCACCAGACTAGCCGGTGCGATTATGCGTTTTGTGCAATTCAGTCCATCGAACGATTGCCTACTAATGATTTCACTACTCTGTACTTTAGTCTGTGCAAAAATAGTTCAAACATCGGGAAAAAGTTAAAAATTTCACGCACCAGCGTATGAAAGCTGAATTCGAAAAGTTGGAAGGTGAATATCTTCTCGTGATTCCTGAGTTAATAGTTTACCCGCCAAAATTTTCACGAGGCTGTAGGTGATAGCCCATAGCGCGGAAACGCTGAATTTGAACGGGCAAGGTTGAGCGTGGGCAGGGGAACATTACCCTAAAATTTCAGCTTCCTAGACTCTGTGGTTCCCGAGATATTAGTCTACCCGTAAAAAACTTTCACGGGGCCATACGTGTTACCCGCAGGTACGGGAAAGCTGAATTTAAACTTGCGGGGTCATACGTGGGTGGGGAACGTTCCCCTAAAATTTCAGCTTCCTAGCTTTTGTGGTTCCCGAGTTGACAGTTGCTGCGGACACAACACAGACAACCCCGTGACAATATGCGTTTTGTACTGCTGTTACACAGCACAAAACGCATAAAAAGAATGGATAGACCTTTTGCACTGAGTTGTTGCTCTGCCCTGAATTATCCGGTGAAGGCAGCAAGCGAGCATCCAACAAATCTTGGAGGAGGTCCTCTACCTCTCGTCCTAAAAATGTTAAAACTTTTATAAAATTTCGGGAAATTTTAAATTTTTGCCCACGTTTCACATAATTTATTTTTCCAATCATTTCAGGCACTCTAAATACGAACGATTTTGGACTAGTTTGAAGAAGCGCTGAGTCTACTATGGTACAATATTTGTGTACATGCTCTATTTGATGGATAAACATTTTACGTCCATAGGCGGATCCAGAGCGGTCTGTTGGGAAGGGGGGGGGGGGAAGAGGAGTGGTTTTTTCTCTCACCCCCTTCCTCTTACTTGGCCATCTCATCGCAACCCCGTGACCTCCTCCCCTTTCCTCGAAAGTCACGCTGCATTACACCTCCTCCCCGCTATCGCTGGTGGACACTAGACTGAAACTGGCAAGACCCCTTGGCAGGAGAGGAAGGAAAGGGGGGGGGGGAGGAGCGGAAGGAGGGGGTGACACGGCGTATCGTACACAACTGCAACCTGAGCCCTTGGGGAGCCTTTCGCTCCACTCCCCTCCCTCCTCCCCCGCCTCCCCTGGACCCGTCAATGACTACGTTGTATCTTCCGTGTTGCTGAGACGTATCCACAAATCAAATATCAAATATAACTTTTACCGAAATCAGATTTTATTATCCCTAGCGAATCTGATCTTCTCAAGTTCCCGTATTACTAACGTTGCAAAAAATGAAAAGAAGTAAAAGACTTTGAATTATTAAAGTAGAATTTTGTTCAGCAGCAAAATCCTGAAAACTTACTTGGTATTTCAGTGGCACGATCTTTTCGTATTTCGTATTCCTCTGTGCAATCTTCGGCATCGATATCCGCCAAAAAATTATATTCCGGATCTTCTGCTTCTAAAATGCATACAAACAACCTATTGTGCAAAGCTCAAAATAAATCCGTAAAAATACAAATCAGCTGTGAAATAATCGACTGCAATTGTAAATTATGCAATTCGATTTCTTGTTTAATCAGTGGCATGCCCGGGAGCACAGAACGGAAAGGAAGCAAAATCATCAAAAAGAAAGCCATTTCTCTGTGCTTTTGTAAAAGTGACGAAAGCTGCCCATGTGGTAGGCAAAAAATTTGTAGGAAGCTGGGCTAGCGTGGCTTGAGGAGCGCTAAATCCTGTCAGAATGTTGAGAAATCTCGAATTCATTTCATTGTTTTTGAAAAATACTTCTAAACTTGCGTTTTTTAAGTTGATTTCAGTGCAGCTAGAAAAAATAAGCAAATATTTCAGCCCAGAAATGACGAATTTTGCGTTTTACAGCTGCTGGTGGTACGTCTTTGAGTTTATTTCAGTTAATCCAGAAAAAAAAAACAAATATTTCAGCCCAGGAATGACGGATTTTGCGTTTTCTAGCTATTGATGGTTCCCTCTCTCCTTCTTTAAGAGATGTTTACGGGCAAGCAGATTACGAGATTGATCCCCTGGCATAAACAAACACCAATTTGTATCGAAACGAATGAACGAATCGTAGAAGGATGGATTGTTTCCCCAGGAAAATCGAATCTCCACCTACTGCGCGATAGCACAGCCACTTTCCAGTACGCCAGGCCCACTCTCTTCATAAAGCACGCTTTTTAAAAATGCAAAAAAGGAAGACGGTACCATCGCCTTCATATTTTGATGGATCATTGAGACTTCGAATGAATTCCACATAATCCGGATCATCTACAGCTGAATACAGCAACATATCATCGCCGAACAATTGCTCATTGTCGGGTTCCAAAGTACTGCTGTCCTGTTGTTTTGAACGTGTATGCAGTGCTGGTGCTACATCAGTGTCCGCTTCTACTACCTAAATTTTGCAATGCTAATTTTCTATTTCAGTTCCAGTATTACGAAAAAAAAGATGAAATTTCGAAAAAAAACTCTAAATTCTTTCACGAAAAAATCCGGACAAAGCTAAGAAATAAGAAAAATAGGTAAGTTAGAATACGAAAAAAATCAAAATAGCTAAAAACTACGAAAAAAAAAACCGAAGAAAAAGCTAATTCTAATAAAAAGAAAAAGATGAAATTTTCTCAAAGATAAAAACAGCCTACGATTTGTATTTAAAGAATTTCCTGAGGGAAAAACGAATGTCAGGATCGCCGGCACAGTAAACAGTTTATACGAAGAAGCACTGGTCAAAGCAACTGGAATAATAAAAAACAACCTATGGCTTGTATCTAAAGACTTTTCCGGGACAGAAACGAATGTCAGGATTGCTAGTACTCTAACTAGTCTGTGCGAAGAAACGTTGGTCAAAACAACTGAAAAAGTTGCCAGGCACACTGATGGTGAGCCAAGCAAAAAATTATAGCTGATGCAAGTATTCTAAGCAAATGAATCCATTGAAAGGATTAATTTATCCACAAATAAAGACTTGTAATTGGGGACTATTCATAGAATCAATTCATCAAATTGCCTGTATATAATGAAACCTAATTATGCGAATTTGCCTATACGCAAATTGCAAAAACACATATTGTGACGACCCCAGTGTGTGTGTGTGTGTGTATGTGCTTGGGTGTGTGTGCGTGCATGTACGTGTGCGTGTACGTGTGTGTGTGTATGTGCCTGTCTGTCTGTCAGGATATTTCAACTCGGCACCCAAGTAAGTTCCTACGCCAAACTGCCAGTGGATTCTCCGGCCAAGTGCCACCCCAGGACCGCAGCACCAGCTCTCATGCAAGTCTGGGCCCCGCGTATGAGAGGACAAAAATTTTGGCCGGCAAATCGCTAACTCGGGAAACAGAAAAGCTAGAAGGCTGTAATTTTGAGGGAATGTTCCCCGTTCACATAGGATTCAAAGGTTTCAAATTCAGCCTCCAGATGTGTGTGGTCCCGCGTTTGTCCCCGTCAGGGCGCGAAAATCGCTAACTTGGGAACCAAAGAAGCCAGGAGGCTGAAATTTTCAGAGGATGTTCCTAGCACGTGTGCAACATAAATTTATCAAACTCAGCTCCCGGGTATGCGTGGTTCTCACGCACGATCTCGTAAAAGTTTTTGGCGCGAAAATGGCTAACTCGAGAAGCAGAAAGGTTGGGGAGCTGAAGCTTTCAGGGAATGTTTCCAGAACATGTACAACTTACAATTATCAAATTCAGCCCTTCAGTGTGTGTAGTGAAAATTTTTAGCAGGAAAACTGCAAACTCAAGAATCGGAAAAATTGGAAAGCTGAAGTTTGAACGGAATGTTCCCTGTCCAAATACTGCGCAGACTATTAGCTTTCCGGATTTCGAGGACCAGTATATCACAAATTTCTATCTGCTGGGTTTCCGGACGACCTCATTATAGCACGAAATATTGCAAAAACGCATGATCGCACGGGCCCACCCGGTGGCGTCGCCATTATTTTTTTCCCCTGTTCTTCAAATTAGGTTGAGATTAGCTCCCAAGAAAACTGGGCTAATCACACGAATTTGTCATGGGAATAGGAAAGTATTTTAAAGTTGGAAGAAGACAAAAGGAAATAATATTAAGAAATTAGTAAAAACTATAAAATATTATAGAATATTAAAAAAAATATTACAATAATGGTAAGAAATGTTTCGGTCCATTAAATCGTATACAGTTCCAATTGTCATGTTTGTCTCACAAACTAGCTCTTAAAACAATACGTGAAAAACAAAGTTAACATCTTTTCCCCCCGTTTCTCCCCCTTCCCATAATCATTTTCTATGAGAGGCGGAAGCACTCGGAAATATTTCAAAAGTAGCAAGACTGCAGTGCGGCATAGCTAGCTTCCTCTATGCGAACAGTGAGCAATCAACAGTACAATAAGAAAAAAAAGCGATTAAATGAAATTAAGCAGATATTACGAGTTTAGAATCATTGGAATGGAGAAGTTGCTAGCTTCAGAAAAATTTAGAAAAAATTTAACGTTGAGGGAATGGAATATTAAAAATTTTAGTTGAAAAATAATGAAATTTGCATATTACGGTACCTGAAGTGCATCATCGCATGCATCACCAAGAATTTCCAAATCATCTCCTATTTCACTTGCATCTTCATCCTAAATTTATAAAATAAAATTAGGCTTTTTCGGCAAATTCTGGACAGAACAACCACAGTTTCAACTATGAATTTGAGAAAACCAGTTACTGCTTGGCAAAGCACTGTAAAAACCGGAACATTCAGATGTGCCTCCGAGGCAAACCGGAACATTCAGATGAAACTATGACGGGTAATTTGACCAAGCAAGCTGTGGCGCCAAAATTTTGCTAGTGGGTTCCTCGGCCATGTGCCATCCCAGAACCGCGATACCAATCCTTACGTAAGTCTGGGCCCCGCATACGAGAACATTTGACGCGTCTGTATACAGAGCATATGTGTCTGAGCAAAAACTCGTTTTAGTTTGC